ATATAATATTTTATAATATAATAATTTAATTTTCTTTCATCATTTATTCTATTTTTTAAAATATTATTAATTTAAAAAAACTTTTTTAAAGCACATTTTCATATTTTATATTTAATATTCATATGACAAGCACTAATAAAAAAATAATGTAACAAACAATAAAATATTTACAATTAAATAGTGTTATGTATTTTTTACATATTTTAAAATATTTCAATAAACATATTGTTATATGATAAATCATTTTTTAACAAATATTCATATAATATTCATTATGTGATCATATTTATTTCAGCAAAATAATATAATAACAATTTTTAAATCATTTTCAATAATGTAATAAAAAAATATTTCAAATAAAAGTTGATCTGTTTTGAATCAATTACTATAAATACTTAAAATTTTTAAAGTTGTTTTTTAAAAAAAATCAAAGTCTTAATTTTTTTTAAATAATGCATTTTTATTTTGAATAAATAATATATATAATGCATTTTGATTTCATTATAATTAAAGATAATTGGTGCCAAGATAAGTTCAATAATCTATATTATTTATACTTTTAATAATTATGCTCCATTTTAATAATGCATATGGATGACATCAATCTGTGTGTCAATCTCTATATTTTTTATATAAATTTGCTACATCATATAAATTTGATTATATATATACATATATATCATGATATATAAATATATTAATCTTTTTAAAATTTGAAAAAATTCTATATATATTAGATATATATAGAATTAGATAGATATATATTTAGAAATATACTTCTTCTAAAAATCATTTATGCTAAACTAATATCTTTAAAATACATTTAATAATAATACAAATATTATTACAAAAATTAAATATATGTTGCTAATACCAATAAAGTAAATATCAATGAAATATAATGAAATCCTTCCATAAACATTTTTTTCTTGAATGAGAGGCAGGATTAATAAGTAATTTTATTTTATTTAATTATATTTTTAAATATTATAAACTCAAAATTATTAAACTTGATTTTAATATGTTATTAAAGCTATCATTTTGAATAATTTTTTCCTATATATGTAATCGGCAATCAACTTTAATTTTTGAATTACTTACAAAAGATTTTTAGCATTATAGCATTAAATTTAATATTTGTGAACTAATTTGTGTCAATGTGCAGTAACATATTTTATCATACTTCATACATATGTTTTTATGCTATTTATAAGGTATTAATATATTCATGAAGTCACATTTGAAACGTCGATTTTGAGATTTCAAAATAAATGAAAAAATTAATCATATTAAGATTTATTTATTATAAACATTGAGATAGAGACAAAGCAAGACAATAGTATGAAATAGTCATATCACACTATCACCATATAATTTCTATATATTTATTTGTAATAAAACTATTAATACCATATATTGCATTTCTTTAAAATAATCTTATCAAATAATAATTTTTATAAACACATTTTTTATAATTATAATATTTTGTGAAAACTATATATTACATAAATATATATAAATATATTATATATATTATAACTATAATTATATATCTATAATATATATAATATATAATATACCTATAATATATATATCTATAATTATGTAATATATTATTAATTTATATTATATATATTATATAAAATATATAAAATTTACATTATCTAATATTTATTAATTATAAAATGTATTTTTATTTTTTGGAATTTTAAAATTATATATATTTCATATATAAATATGAAAATAAAATTAAGTAATTTAATAAACATACAATTACATTATAAAATTATCAATGCAATAATTTATTAAAAATAATTATATAATATGATTTATATAAAATATTTTTTGCATAAATCATTCTGAATCTGAATCAAATTGATTATTAATATCAAAGTCATCATTATCTATTTCTTTAATTATTAAAGATTTCAATTTTAATAATAAATCTTCTTTAGATATACAATTATTTGTATTTTTTTTCTCTTTTCCTTCATTCATATCTTCTTCTCCATTTTTTTTTATATTGTTATATTTATCTTTTTTATTTATAGCTGAAAATGATATCAATATATATACATATAATATATACATAATATATATAATAAAGTACAATATTATATTATAATTAAAACATCATTACAATTTATATAGCGCATGAATGTTCTTCGTTTTCGTTCAGATAGTCTTTTAAATAAGTTCTGCAATTGTGTATCTAATTTCATAATTTCTGTTTTATTAAATTCTTCTTTAACAATATTATTTTCATTACCACATTTTGGACATACATTATATTGTGTAGCACAAGTTAAACACATATTATGATAAGCATGTTTTATTGTTTTCTGTTCACATTTGACACATTTTGCAGCTCTTTTTAATGGTTTATATTTTTTATATTTAATTTTCCACTCAATTATTTTTTTACATCTTTCACAAACATGTGCAACTTGAATACTATTAATACATTTTGTTTGATTTGATTTGTCATGTAAATCATTTTTAAAAGCAATTTGGTTTTGATATTTTTGTGGTCTTGATCGACTGGAATTTCCTTTTTGCGTACTCATATTTTTACTCGTTTAAATAACTTTCAATCTATAAAATATATTATTATTATTTTTTACAGTTTTTATACATCTTAAATAATGATATTATAATATTAAAATATTTTAATATTTTATCATGCAATTCATAAGTCATTATAATTTTACTATATTTATTAATATATATAATTTTTAGATATATATACAACTCATATAAACTACATTAATATTTTTTTTACTTAAACATGATATAACTTTGTTATGCTATTGATAAATGTAACCTCAAAATGCGACGCCATTTAATGATAAGTACATTTTTATATGTACAGTTATTATATACAAAATTTTTGTTCTCATTATCACATATTCACGAAAATACAATTTAAGATTCATTGGAAATAGTAAAAAGCACTAATATTTATAACAATAATGAATAATAAAAAAATATCACATAATTTAATTAAATATAATGAAACGATAAAATATAATCATTAATATTATAATAATGTTTTGCTAAAAAATTACTAGAATGTTTCATTACTATTGATAAAAAAAATCTTTATTATAGAATTTCCATTAATGTAAAATAAGTTTATATATATAATTAAAAAATTATTATTTTTAAAAATTATTATTATTATTAAATTATAAGTTTGTGTTAGAAATCAAAATTATAAGAGTGAAATAACTTTATCTCCATCATACGATTATGACAATTTGTCAAATTATTTATCTTTTATCTAACTTAAAATAATAATACTTGCTTATAAATAAATTATAATTTAATAATTAAATTAATAAATAATCGATATTTTTATATAACAATTTCTGTGTTTTGATTTTAAGAATTAATTTTTCAAAAGATATCTTACGAATATGAAAGTATAACAAAAATATATATTATATAAGAAATATATATTATATATATTATATATAAGAAATAGAACTATTAGAGCATATTAATATTGTATTATATTTATTATAATTTATATTTGTTTATACTTGAGATATCATAAATTCCAAGTATAATTTCATAAATATACTTTGATATGATTTATTCAATATACTTGAGTTATATTAACAAAATGTGATAATAATAAAGATGTGAAAAATAAAAAAAGTTTTCCGTATTTTTGATTTTTTTTTTTTTTATATATGTATTTAGTACAAGTATTATGCACAATCATTTTGGATTTCATTACATTTTTCATTGTTTTTTGTAATTATTTAAAATCAATATTCACCACCATTTGATTTTTTGAATCTTTGATTTTTGAATAAAATGAATTATTAATGTTAATAAAAGCATTTATTGCATTTTTAATAAACATGATTGAAATTGTTTGTAAGATTATATTTAAATGCGCTTGAGACAAACATAAATCGTTTATAAAAAAAACAAAAAGCATTATTTTCCATTATACTAAATATAAATATATTTGATGCTTTTATAAAATGCTATTTAAAGATTTCTATATTATTTTATAGATTTATTCTATATTTCTATATTTAGTATATTGTTTTGTATTTTTATGATATACATAAATTTGATCTTATAATCCCTATATTTATATTTTTATTTATATTTATATCAGATTAATATCAGCAACATATCAATTTTAGATTTATATTTCAGAACAAGTTCAAATAATATTTTAATATTGACTACAATCATATGTATTAAAAAATATAAATTTCAAGTTAAAAATTAAAAAATCATAATTTTGTCTTGTTTAATGATAGTGAAAAATCAAATAAGTAACAGCATGATTTATCTCTCGTAATATCTTTTAATATTTCTTATGGAAAATTAAAATGGAACACTCTGTATATAATATATCTAATAGTAATTTTTTTTATTTAAATAAATACAATTAGAAAAATTTTTTAAATAATTTATTTTTTAATTTATTTATAAAAAATAAATCTATATTATTCAAACACAATAAATTTCATAAATGATTTTATATGAAATCAAGATATTAAGAAATATAAAATATAATAACAAAATATAATATATTTTTAAATCATTGCGTAAAATTTCATTTTTAAAAATAATTCATATTTCAGTTAAATTAAAAAAATTAATTTTCACTCATAATTTTAAAGAATATTCTTCAATTTTTTCTATATTTTT